GGTTGAGGCTGAAGGGTTGCCAGAGCCCAGCAGGCCAATGCTAGGGTGACCATGAGCGTGCCACTGCACTCCAGCCTGGGTGATGGTGTGAGCCTCCAACTCAAAAAATAAAAAAATAAAATAAAATTTGAAGCCAAAGGAAATGGTTGGAACTTGGGAGAATTTACATCTTGCATCTCTTTATGGTATGGTTCCCTGTCTTGTTTTTTGTTTTTAGAATGAATTAGATCTTTTTTTTGTGTGTGTGTGAGTTGGAGTCTCACTCGGTCGCCCAGACTGGAGTGCAGTGGCCGCTCCCGGCCACCACAGCCTCGACCTGCCGGGCTCCGGCGATCCTCCCGCCTCAGCCTTCCGAGGAGCCGGGATTACAGGCGTGCGCTACCACGCCCGGCTGATTTTTTGATTTATTGTAGAGATGAGGTCTCGCTGCCCAGGCGGGTCTTGAACCCGCGGGCTCAGGCAATCCACTCACCTCAGCCTCCCAAAGGCGTGGGATTACAGGCTGAGCCACCGAGCCCAGCTTGAATTAGATCTTTTAAAGGCTTTTACTTACTGGAGAATCACAGAGTTTTGATAGGACACGAAGGTTCAGTCTACAAAATGTCAAAGTAACTATTCAATTCAGGATAACAGTCAAACTGTCTGGCATCATATAGACTCAAAACGTATTTCCTGCATTTTATCTTAGTCATTTGGGGTATGCTTAACTCTCATTTGGACTGAAAATGGAAGTTTTTTGCTTTTTGTTTTGTCCTGCTAACTAGGTTTTAGATTCTCATAAAGAGTTTTTACTTAATTTTATCCTTCTTCATTAACTGTTTAGTCCAGGTCTTGTGAAAGGGGGCTTAAAAAGACATCTACAATGTCAAAAATTAGGCTAAACATGTACTCAGCCTTTGCACAGTTAAAAACTTCCCTTCCTGGAAACTGGCAACAGCACCTGCTGCCTGGGTTAAACTGCTGAACAGCTCTTCTTTTTTTTTGCTTCTGGGAATCCTGCTAGCATTGCTTGAAAGGTACCTAGGCCTCCAGGATGTTGCGGTTTGGCCCACTTGGAAAGTCCCAATGTGGTTTTCCCTCATTTAAGCAAGCCCCGATAGCTAATGGGTGCCTCTTGCTGTGGGACTGTTATGTCCAGCAGGCAAGTGGCCACCGGCCCGGCTCTTGGCTAATAAAAACCTCTCCTTTTTATAACTTGTACTTTCAGTGTTGGTGTCTGTGAATTAAGTGCTCGGTCCCTATTTCAGTCTCTTAGTATGCGTTCTTCAGTGTGTTATAATGAAATGAGAGGTTTCTGTCCTTTTAACTTGGAGTCTTTAATACAAATTAACAAATTACGGTTTTTGTTGTTGTTGTTGTTGTTTGTTTGTTTTAGAGACGGAGTCTTGCTGTGTTGCCCAGGCTGGACTCAAGCACTTTGGCTCAAGCAAGCCTCCTGAGTAACTGGAAATACAGGCACATGCCACTGTGCCGAGCTAAAAATTTTGCTCTTTTAAACAGTATAGAAACCTTCCATCATGAGAAGTTAAAAAGCTCTTTTGCATCTCACATCATAGCTACAAGGTATCACTGGGTGGGTGGAACCCCTCCTAAGCTAACCTCACTTAGGCATGGATTTGATTCTCAAGGAGACCTGGTTGCCTTCATTCGATTCTTCGAGTCCAGGCCTTCATGCCAGCCCAGTGCACTACAAATGCAAATGTTCCATCACAGTAGGGACCGAGTGTGTCCAGAGCTGTGAGTGCTGCTTGATGAAGAAACCCACTGAACTCGCCAGTAAAGACACACACATTGTTTTTGAAGTAAAAAGGGTGTTTGTAAAATAATCTCTAGAAAAAAGCAAGGATGTCTCCTTCCACACGAAGGTACCAATACTAGAAATAATGGAAAGAAAATTGATTAAATTCAGAATATAGAATTGAGAAATTTAAAAGTATTCATTTATTTTAAGAGTCATGATAATACTGAAGTGAGCTAACCAATGTTTCTCAAATGCTCTCAATGTGTGCTTTAGATGATGTACTTCTTTCTTTCTTTCTTTCGAATTGGAGTCTCATTTTACCACCACACCTGGCTGATGTACTTTCTTATTACTGCAGGCCCTGGAATTTCCCATACATAGCAAGCCCTGAAATCTAGCTGCAACAATTTTCTTGATAACGTCAAAATGAAATTGTTCTTTCTGGACTTTCGAGATTGTTGTGATCACAGCCACACAAAGGAGTGGGCTCTGTGCTCCTAGAGGGTGGAACGCAGTCATGGGATGGGGTGATGCCAGAGACTCTCCACGTTCAAAAAAACTCATCACACAAAAAACTGGCGGATTGAAAGTTTAAAGAAAAAAAAGCTGTCTTCAGCATGGATGATTTGAGCAGCCCTGGTCTAGAATGTTGCCTACTGCATAACTGGCACTCAGCATTGCTTGATGAGTGAATGAAAGAATGGCGGAAATGCTTCCTTATACTATGTTCATGTATTGCGCGTGATGGTTTGTTTGCTTGTCCAGCACTGACCTGTTACCTGTAACAGGCTGAGTGAGCCCCGGGGGAGGAGTCTTTCACTTACTAACCATGCTGCCTGCCAGTCCGTCAGCCTAGTCACTGGGCCTTACAGGTTCCTCTTTCCCGTTCCAGTGAAACGGCGTGTGAAGGTACTTTCTGTAAAACTGGGTTTACAAATGTGAGGTTTCATTGTCACTGACAGAAGCCATTTCAAAATTCTAAGATCTAGCATCCTCAGTTCTCCCTATAAAACATGAATTGTGAAAAAGCTAGAGTATCGGTTAGGAAGATAAAAAACAGGAAGCTCCTGTTGCCATTAAGTAACAGCTGGTTGACCAGAACTCCAGTTCTCTGCTGGCTCATCCTGCTCGTCCTTCTAGTGTCCCTAAGTCCCTCGGAATTCTCAAGTGCCTTCTGATCTACCAAGAGGACAATATGTTGTTTGATATAGTCTTAGTCAAGTGTATTTTACAGTATTTTAGCTCTTTAAAAATCAATTTAATATGGACACATGGGCGCTTGCATACTAACCAAAGTTAACATTTAGCTATGTTATCTATATCCCTTTAAGTTTGCCTACTCAGATTTGCTAAAAAACCAGATTTCTTTCAATAAACTTTTGTTGGGGATAATGGGAGATTGCCTTGTAATCAGAATTTATGCAAGTACTTTCCCCCCCCAGACTAGAATAAAGAATAGTCCTACATTAGAAATAGCTATATTATTTTGTATTGGTCATCAGTCAAATTAACCTTGAAGTGAAAATGACATGATGGTGTACATAATTCACTTTATTAAAGTGAGTTTCAAATAAGACAAATGCTGTTTGGGTAAGTTTGGTAGAGGTTGATCTATATAGCATATAAATACGTAATATAAATAACTGTCTTAAGTTGCTACATCAAATTACAGCCCCCTCCTCTATCCCATTCCCTGACACCCGTGGCCATCGGGCCGTCCTTCTGCCTGCCCCGTGGGCCGCCTGGTCCAGACGATGGCAGTTTGCTGGCTCGTAGAAAATGCTGGTATTCATGGAATACTACGCAGCCACGAAAAGCATGAAATCGTGTCCTTTGCAGCAGCATAGATGGAGCTGGAGACATCATCCTAGGTGAACTGACTCAGAAACAGGAAACCAAACACCGCATGTTCTCACTCGTGTGTGGAAGCTAAAGGGTACAAAGTTGGAAATCACAGACCCTGGGGACACTAATGAGGAGAGAGGTGAGGGGGAGCCAGGGTTCAGCAACTTCCTACGGGGTACAATGTTCACTCTCTGGGCGATGGGCCACCTGAGGCCCAGTCCCCACCACTGCACAGTACGTCCATGTAACGAACATGCATGTGGACCCCCCGACTCGAAAAGAAAAGAGAGAAAATGCTGGTATTCAGAGTGTAAGTGCAGACGTCCAATGGTGTCTCCCCATTTCTTTTGCTTTCTGGTGTTCTTTTTCTCTTAAACCATGCATTTCTTATTCTAATAAGTTATCGGTAATACCACATTATGTATTTTCCCTGAAACTTTTTTTTTTTTTTTTGAGTTGGAGTCTCACTCTGTCGCCCAAACTGGAGTGCAGTGGCCTCTCCCGGCCACCGCAGCCTCGACCTGCTGGGCTCTGGCAATCCTTCTGCCTCAGCCTTCCAAGTAGCCGGAATTACAGGCGCGCGCTGCCACGCCCAGCTGATTTTTTAATTTATTGTAGACATGAGGTCTCGCCAAGTTGCCCAGGCGGGTCTCGAACCTGCGGGCTCAGGCAATCCACTCACCTCAGCCTCCCAAAGTGCTGGGATTACAGGCTGAGCCACCGAGCCCGGCTGAAACGTTGTTTATACAGAAGAAATCATTCTCCTCCCAAGTTCCCCAGGGAAGATACCACATCATTGAGAAAGGACTTTTCTTTTGGCAACTTTAGTCAAGGTCATGCTCCAAGGTGAAGATGCATGAAGTCGTGAGTATATAAAACAGGGAACCCTGGCTAGGTGTGGCAGCTCATGCCTGTAATCCCAGCACGTTGGGAGGCTGAGGTGGGAGGATTGCTTGAGCTCAGGAGTCCAAAACCAGCCTGGGCAACATAGTGAGACCCCATCTCTACAAGAAATAAAAGGAATTAGCCAGGTGTGGTGGTGCATGCCTGCAGTCCCCGTTACTCAGGAGGCTGAGGTGGGAGGATTGCATAAACCCACATGGTTGAGGCTGCAGTGAGCCGTGATTGTGTCAGAGTAAGACCCTGACTCAAAAAAAAAAAAAAAAGAAAAACCAAAAAACCAGGGAACCCTTAAACACAAGTTTTCTAGCCTAGTTATTTCCATGACACAACAGAAAAATGTATCTATCTACCCTTATCTTCAAAGTTCCCCTACCAGGGAACTTTCCACCCAAATGAGCAGCAGTTGCACCAGTCTGAAGAGCTCTTCTCATGAAGAGGTGACCTGTGATCTGCAGCATACGAATGCCAATAATGAGAACATTGCCTTATATCAAAATCAACATAGAGTGACACAAAAATAGGTAACAGGCTATAAACTGAAGCAAGAGCTCCTGTCAAAGTGGGGGTTTAGGGGCATGTAGTGTCCTTACAAGTGAACTTGAACTTGAGGTGCCTCCCAAGTCCACCAGCCTGAATATCATAACGACACTCGGGAAAAGGAAACCGTTCTTGTGGCTGACATCGAGGGTCTACCGTTAAGACTACAGTGTGCCCGCTACACTGGCCCTGCTTCTCCAGGGGTCTGGGTAACAACTAACCTCAGTGGCTACGGCGCTGTATTCCCGCAGCACCTAGTGGAATGCTGTGTATACAACAGATGGTGAGTAAGTGCAGATGAAAGCAGTAGGTGTCTTGTCAGTGTAGCTCTGGAGAAAGAACAGTGAAGACACGGGTGGGTACTGGGAATTTCTTTAGCCACATCCTGAAAGTCCTTCTCATATCCAGATATTTCTGCAGCGCGTCTCCTGGAGAATGAAATGTACAGAGCGACGGGCATCTATGAGAAAATGGACCAGTATATTAAATTGAACAGGATGTAGGCGGCCGGAAAGATGATCCTTGAGTACTTGTCGATGGCGTGGGTGTCGATCCTCATGCTCACGTAGCTGCTTCTCTGACTCTTCCTCTGGGGAGAGCTCCTCTCCGAGGCCAGGGTCAGCTGCACCATCATCCTGTCGGGCTTCTCCCCATTCTCCGGCATGAAGTTGTCCAGGTCCGTCACCTCTCCGTCGCTGTAGCTGCCGTCCAGCATGACGGCACGGGGCGGAGGCAGCCCGCCGCCACAGGGGAGCTGCGGAGAGAGACACACGTTGGGATGCGTGGGGGGGGACTTCTAGTCTCTCTGACTCCTAGTTGGGGAAGAGGGTGGGAAGGTCATGCCAGGATCCCTGTAAACGTTCTAAAATAGCCAGGCTAACCGAGGGGCTACCTATGGACTTTCAGGAAGCATTACAAGGTCCTGTTCATGACGACATGAACTGTCCTATTCTCCGTGAGATCACACATATGAGCTCTTGATACAAATGTTCGCAGATCACGTTACTGTGGGCGGGCACATGGGTGTTTGTCATGGGCATGGGAATTGGCATTGTGGGGTTAGGGTCCTGTACGGTTACTTTTCCGCAGGAGATAACCATTGAGCTGCAGACTGAGGGAGAAAAGGAATGCTAGGTGGGAGGAAAGAGATCCTGGAAGATGAACGAAGATTTTCTAGGATGGAAAATGTTATTCCCTGGACTGTTTTGTTTGTTTGATTGTCTGTTTTGAATAGAGCCCGGGTCTCACTTTGTTGAGGCTGGTCTGGAACTCCTGGCCTCAAGTGATTCTCCCACCTTGGCTTTCCAAAGTAATGGAATTACAGGCGTCAGCCCATCCCACCTGGCCAGGATGGTTCTTTTTTACACTTTTGTGTTCGTAAATAATTTCTTCCACCACGCTGAATTGTTTATTTTTCTTTGGGATTCCCTCGCTAAACGGTGTGCACCACCAAGATGCTCCTCAGTAAGCCTGTCTTGCTAAGTTGACTCGGCAGCTCCAAGGATGCAGGGGCACTAGAAGAAGTTTCAGTGAATGAAAGATGTAGCCCAGGGTACATTTCACGCTGACTCGACATATGAGAGGGACCCAAAAAACCCGGAACTTCCTCATAGACAGTGGTGTCATTATTATATGTTTAAGCTTCAGTCACCCTCAAAGTACCCTCTGATGCAACACACATACTGAGTGCTTGAAACCATTTTTAATTTTTATTATTTTTTGGGTTGGGGTGTCACCCAGGCTGGAGTGCAGTGGTATGCTCGTGGTCACTGCAGCCTCGACCCGCTGGGCTCCGGCCATCCTTCCGCCTCAGCCTTCCAAGTAGCGGGAACTACAGGCGTGCGCTACCACGCCAGGCTCATTTTTTTTTAATTATTGTGGAGATGAGTTGTCCAGCCAAGTTGCCCAGGCTGGTCTCGAACGCCTGGGCTCAGGCAATCCTCTCACCTTGGCCTCCTGAAGTGCTGGATTTACAGGCTTGAGCCATTACACCTGGCCTCAAAGCAGGTTTTGAACTCATCACTTTGGATGCCTCTTAGTGCTTCTGCCGTTTTTTGTCTCACCTCTTCCACGTTGGCAAAATGTTTCCCTTTGAGGATCTTTTTCATCCGGGGATACAAAAATAAGTCGCTACGACGAGATCAGGGGAATAGGGAAGGTGGGGTATGGGGGGGTCATGCTATTTTTGGTCAAAAGCTGCTGAACAAGCTGGGCTCGGTGGCTCAGCCTGTAATCCCAGCGCTTTGGGAGGCTGAGGTGAG